CCCACTTTAGCAGCCGCTGGGAACTGCCTCCCGTTCTCAACGATCTAGAACACCTAATTGAGCCGCCGAGCGACGGTTATCATCACGGCCTAAGCCAACTGAGGCACCCAATTGTTTGTTCGCCTCCAGGGGCAGGCGCGCAGCAGCACTCATTCTCCACGTTCTGCGGTGAAGAATTCCAAATTTAATCACAAAGGAGGAGCCGACGCGAATGCGACCCTACGCCTCATCGACGGCCTCTCCTCCTCCCCTCTGACGATGATCCCGCTCTTATGGCGCAACAATCTCCCGAAGGCTCCTCATCCGAAGCCGGGTCCGTCGACGGAGAAGAAACCGCTGAAGATTCAACTGAGGCCGCCTTGGTATTGAGCTGCGACCACGGCGCTGTAGTAAGACCGAGCGACTGCGCCAGGCGACGGAAGGCCAACTGAGGGGCTTGACGCGGCGTGCCTCCGCTATCACAAAAAAGCGATTAGTAAATAAAGCTGAAACAAAGCAGAACAGAAGGAAAGATTTGATTTTTTACCTGCTACGGGCCTACGGCCATAGCTCTCCAGAAAGACGCCCACGTACGTATCCCCCTCGTATGGGGGAGTCACGGCATCGACCCATTCACGTATCCAAGACAATGGGGGGCGCGGCGAGCCTGTTCGGCTACAAAAAAAAAGGGCGAAGTTAACGCTCATAGCGCAAATCATAAAGGAGAAAAGAAAAGAGGATTCAACGATAAAAAAAACTTACATGCATGGTTCCAAGCCTCTGGAACCCAGTAGCATCCGCCCAGGTGCTTGTCCTGATATAAAAGAAGTGCTCGAAAGGGCGGGGCTTCGACTCGTCATCCAATTCCGAGTGACCAGGCTTCGCCACGTGCACGCTGAATGCATGGTACCACGGGACTCTCTGAGGAGGTAGAGATCACGAATGTGCTGCGTAACCTCTACGGGCCAATTCGGCGTACTTTGATAAACATTGCCAAAGTTTGTAGAGAAGGAGCGAGCTGACCTGGGAACCGTAATAACGGCAAAAATCACCGACCAGCATTGGGAGCGGGATCTTGAACCCCAACCTGAAGGATAGGCGTAAAAACGCAGTACCCCTACGGTCGGTGTGGACCTCTCCTTCGCTTCTGCAAGAACGATGTCTGCATGGGTAGGGAACGACCGCCTGTTCCCGCAATCGGGCCATCCCAATTTCCCCATCAAAGGGGCTTCATCACCGGTTCCTCCACCGTGACGGTGAATCAATCGCCGGACCTCGGGCCGAGGAACCCACCTCGTCAACCGACGGAATTTCGCCGACTCCGTCTGTTCCACAACCTCCCATCGCCGAAGATGGTCCGTCAGCTGCCGGAAAATTACCGAAGAACACCATGGAAGACTGCCGCCATTGGTAATCTACTGAAAACAAAATGTATCAACTGAAGAAAGAAAAGAAACAGTGAATTAGCAAGAAGACAAAGTTTCTCAGATCTCTCTCAACATGACAATGAAGATATGAGAATGAATGCCTCAACCCACCTTTATAGGCAACATAAATGGCTTTTGCAAAGCCAATAGCCATCATTAATGCACGACAACCGCAAAACGGTTCGGTTCTGTAGGAGCAAGCGTCATTATCGAGCTCCATAAAGCGGCTTTCTCGACCATCCGCCAGCGTACGCCGTCAGAACATTCGCTACGACTATGAACACCGAAAGAATGTGCCGAACTGCCGTTAAATTTTGGACCCCAAATACGTACTTCGCGCATATTCATTCTCACGGCCAATCTCCAATATATAAAAGGCTACGGCATCCTCAAATATATAAAGGCTACGGCTAATCTCACTATTAATAAAAGGCTAACGGCACGATCTCCAAATATAAAGGCTACGGCATCCTCAGTATACGAAAGGCTACAAATATCTCCAACGTGTAAACGGTTAGGCCACCGCGCGCCAATAATTGACTCCTTATTCGAGTTGTTTACAAATCACAATCGATGAAGTGCTCATCGAGCTCGGCCGAAACACGACCTCAATAAGCGGAGGGACTAATTGTATGGGTCAAATTCTGATCCCACGATAATTAACGAGGCTATATCCGTTTTAAGTTAATTCATGATTAATTAACGCACAAAACACTCAGATTGACAACGTTCAACCCGCCTCTAGCTCGGTCGACAAGGCCCTGGCTACGCGCCATACAAAAGGCGAGATTCAACGTGGTTACGACCACTTATCGCCAGCTCACGAAGCTCACAGCTATAAATACCAAGAGAGGAAACCCCTCGAAAAGGGGGGCCTGCTTCTCGACCACTAGTGAGAGGAGAGAGAAACGAGAAAAGATACCCTCTTATGGGAAGAGAAAACACCATTGTAAGGCTCTGAACTTCATGGAGAGGCAGATCAAACAAATATTATCAATAAAGGTTTCTAGATGCTTCTCCCCCTATCGTGAGTTCTATTTTCATGTCTTTCAATTGGTCCAACGGATTATTACGATTTGTTATGATTATCCCGGGATTTATTTATATTGTTTTGTACTCGTAAGATGTGTAACATTTTTTGAGCGAACATAGTACTTCATTTAGTAAGGCTTAAGCTTTTTTTCACTGCTTCAATTATCAATTCCACATCTATCGCTTGATTATTCGTTTTCCTCGGCCGCCCTCTCGGCATTTTCCGATAGTGCGCACGTTAGTTCACCCTATCGTACGCCAGGAGAATTTAGAGAGAGAACCTCAATTTTTAATAAATTCCTCTTACTTTCCACTGGGGCATTGAGACGAACTATTTCGCTGTGGTGTCAAGGGAGTAGCAACGAAGTTGAAACTTAATTGCTAGAGAAAGAACCTCAATTTAAAAAAAAAAAAAAAAAAAAAAAAAAAAAAAGTTGATCGATTTTTTTTATTTATTTTTTGTAAGCACATTTCATGCTGGATAAAATCAAAATCATAATTAATAATTTTTTTAAGCAGAATTAAAATTTGGGCTCTTGAGGAGTTCTTTGGGTAGAACTTTTTTCTTTATTGAGTTAGCTAAATAGGATCGACATTCATTAATTTTTATGATCTTACATTTAATTTTAATATATAATTCAAATACTATTTTTAAAATAATTTTTACATTATTTTAATATTTATATGGCTTTTATAAAGTTTAACCCACTTACATAAACGACATACACACACGCGTACCTGAGACTAGTTTATATAAAAAATGCCTACAGTGTTATTTTATTCTCACTGTCCCTCTTCCCTTCCTTCGTCCCATTGTAATATTAAAAACATTTTAATTCTAAAGAAAAAATTTATAATCTATTTTAAAAGAATACCAGTACAAACACACTTTATTTTCTTTGACTATATTCTCTTAAACATTTCTAAATATTTTTATATAAAATTTATGATTTGTCGTAATTTTATGTAGTTTGTAACTATGTAATATTTATTTAAAAAGGATATAAAAAATGCTATTTGTTAGCTTTTGTTTTGAACAAATAATTTGTTTGTTCTCAAAATAATCTATCTATATAGAATATGCGAAGCAAAAGCACTACATTAAGACAAGTGTCATAACCACAAAAAGCCAAGTGGTATTGTTAAGACAAAACTAAACTACTTTTCTACTAATTTTTTTTTAATTTTAAATTTTGAATTAATTAGTTACACTACTTAAATTAATAAATATAGATATCTTATAATTATCAATTAAAAACGAAAATACAAAAAATATTCTACTCATTCAAATTGGACCAAGAAACAATTATTTATATATATATATATATATATCAGAAATCATACATATACACATAACTAAAATCATAACAAACAAATAGTCATAAATGAAGAATACTAAAAAACAAAATAAAGCAAATGATATCTTAAAAATACATATACTAATTAAATTTCTCATGTAGGAAAAATTAGTAAATAAATAAAACTCATAATTTCATAATGAAAAAAATAATAATATAAAGAAACTATTAGGATATTATACATAAGATAATATATTATATAAAACACATTTTAATTATTAAAAGTATTAGTACGTCTTTTATAAAAATAATAAAAGGCTTATCTCTTTATACTTTTGATGAATTCAAAATTATTTAGTAAAAAATGATATTATTTAAATTTTCAGTAAATATAAAATGAAAAAACTAATCAAATATTATAATAAAAATGAATGTACGAAAAGAGGTGGATAAAGATAATTTTATAATTTTTATATTTTGAATTAATTAATAAATAAAATATAAATAAATAACATTCAAGAAAATTATTGATAAATTTAGACAATTGAAGAATTTTAAACAGTATAACATAAGTATAAAAATATATATTTTCAGAATAAGAAAATATATACGTATGTTCTACTAGAAGAGAAGTAATATCAAAATATTTAGCCAATTGACAAATTAATAAAAAATCACATTCGTAAACGTATCGTACTAAGTACTTGCTAATTTAATAAAGAATACACAAGAACAATTTATTTGATTACTATAATGCTTTGTATCCTTCGATTTTGTATAAATTTTATTATATTTATGTATACTACATTAAATAATAAAATAGTACAACTATTATTTATTAAAATAATGTGATATATTAGATCATAATTTATAAGATAACTATTCCGTCAAATTATTGGCGGGTTCTAACACTAGTTCTGAGAAAAATAAAGAAACCAACTGAATCAATTTTCATGAAACCAAATAGTTTTGGTATCCAAAATAGAAACAAAACCAAATCTGTTTTCAAATAGTAAGATTTTTATTTGCCAATGATGAATTGTTATTTTGCTTAAATACACCTTTTTTCCCCTATTAATTGGGGAAAACACCCGTAAATAAACCCACTCTGGTGTGGAAAAAAGAAAGGACCGAACTCTGCTTCACTCTTCAGCATCCCAATTTCTCGAGCGTCTCTCCTGAGATTTTCTGCCGCTGCAATAAGGACCCACCGTCGCCGTTATCGGATCCGGCCGTGAAATTTGAATACCCATTTTAGGTAATTTCGTAGTCCAATTTCTGGTACGTTGTTTTCGTCTAGTTTTTGCAGTAAAGGTGATTACTTAATGAAAATTTAAAGGTTGTATTGTTATTCAGATGATAATTTTAGCTATTGGATTGGTCTCTTTTCTCTTTTTTCGTTTGTTCAATGGGTTTCATTTGTCTGCTGAGTTTGTGAACTATAACATGAATAAAGTTGATGCCGAAAAAATGGGACATTTTTTAAGCAGTAAATATGGAGTAGTAGTATTTTCAACTTACTTGATACAGAGTCACTCTTGATGTCTAGATCCGGTAGCCATCACATATTAACCCCAAGGGAAGAACATTGTGGGGGTTCTGACAGTGGCAATCAAACAAGAACTTGATGAGCGAAATCTGTTTACAAAAAAAGAAAAAAGAGAACTTTTGAATCAATATATCTCGGGTCCCGTGATAACTTAGGATTAGTGATGATACGGTTGATGTGATATCTCAAAACTGTAATTTGATGGTATATTTATAGGGTGTATGTGGGAACTCACTAATGAAGTTAACAAGTTTGGGAAATGAAATATTGTCATGGTTTAGGCTAATATGGTGATGATGCCTCTGGTCCTTGTGATGAAACAAGACTAAAGCAGAAGGAAATTTTAAGCATGGTGAAAGGCGGTTCCCTTTGGCTATTCAGCTTCGGGGAACTTTGTTTGAACTTCCTGTTTATCATATTCTCCGTCCTCTCTTATTGGTCAATTACTCTGCAAACACTGAAAGAAGAGAAGGCACTTAAGGTGACCGTGAAAGCTAATTGCATATAGCTGCTTCTTACCTTTCTCCACTTAATACCAAGGTATTCCCTTGTAAGTGATCTCGCATGCTTAAGGTCATACCTCTCTGTCAATTACTTGCTAGCTCTGAAATATAAGATTGTCCTGGCATGGCACTGATTGTTGACTCCTCCTAGATCCTTACTTCAAAATGCTGATATTGTAGCATACGGCAAATCTGGCAATTTGTAGTTGGTGTTGCTTTGTTAAATTTAGTCCATCATTATAAGATTGCCAGATTAAGACGCAGAGCATTTTACTTTTCAGTGCCATGTAAAGGCAACTGATCTGAAGTCAGCTATAAACTTTCTCAATCTTGTAATGAGTATTATTCATTGGTGCCTGATCTTTATGCATAAAGGGGTACCTTGCTTGCATTTCTTGGCGCATCTTTGTTGTTGAATTTTGTTTTTTCATGCATGCCAAGTCAAGCAAAATGCTGTAGGCTAGGACACCAGGCCTCGCTCACTCAAATTATCTGTCTAATTTCATTTCTATTGTAACCTCAGATAATTGGAAACCACATTACAGTAATCATGCTTTTGTTGGCTGCTAAGTGTTTATTCATGCTTCTGTGGTGCTAAGTTGTTTTAGATGTTTGCACGTTCCTTCACTCCTAAAATTCTCTCTTTCTGATGGATGAATTGGGCTGTTCTCTATCAGTGGCTTCTATATAGAAACAATAAGGGCCTTGGACGCACATCGTAACAGCAAGCTAGACGGTCTAGTAATTTGTGTGGCTGTTTGATGGTCAGCAGTCAAGCATCCTACTGACGTTCTTCCCTGCTGGTCTGTCTTTTTTATTTCTTCTCCATGGGTAGGGAGTGAATTGAGTGAGAGGCACACTGAAGGATGTGAGTTCAAGTCCTGCAGCTCAATTGGGAAAAATCCCAAAGGTCGTCTTTTATAGTTTTTGAAGGTAATACAGCGTGCGATATGTGGTAGGTGCGCATTATTAGTTTGAATCTTAGCTAGTGAATCAAGTTTGATTTTTAAGTGGAGAAGGGTAGAGGGCGGACACATTATCCATCACAGTTTCGAAGTTGGGAAAAAATAGATTTTGCGGTTATTAGAATAAAGTTCAAAATTCTTTGTATGCGATCTAATTCTGTGCATGCAATCTTATTGATACTTGTCAAAAGTAGATCGTTGGTCTTCACCAAAAAATCCCCTCCTACTTTTCTTTTTCCTTTTTTTTTTCGGGGTGGATTTGCAGTAAAGATTTTCTGATACAGGGTGCCATGATTTCGAGCAGCAACTTCATTCATAAGACTCACTATGAGATCCTAGGTGTGAAGGAAGATACAGATTTTGAAGAAATCCGTAAAGCCTATCGTTCAGCCATACTTTGTTTTCATCCAGACAAGCAGCAAAAGGCATCAGAAACATCCAATTCTGAGTGTCTGACAGAAAACAAATTTTTGGAGATACAGAGAGCTTGGGAAACCCTTGGCAACCCGAGGTCACGTGCACTTTATGACGGTGAATTGCTAGCTTTGAGACAGGATGTAGCAATTGCTGAAGATGTTAGCTTAGAGGACCTTACAGTTCAAGATTCTGGTGATGATATAGAGCTTTCTTATCCTTGTAGATGTGGTGACTACTACTTTATTGATTCTTTAGAATTGGCTGACACGGGTTGTTCAATATCCAGAGATGGGTGTACAGTCTCTTTGCTGACATCTAAATCTTTGCCAGCATCTATTGTGCTTCCTTGTGGATCTTGCTCACTTAAAGTTCGCCTACTGATTAATGGCGATACTAGGCTTCACAAAGATGTTCACTTGTAATTATGATTAGTTGGAAAACATTATTCTCTACAATATATTTGCAAAATTTTTGGAAATTGAAATGACAAGGAAAAATGGGAAGTCTGAAATTTCTTGTGCTTTTTTTGGGGGGGGGTTACTTCTGAAATGGTTGGTAGGCTACATGACAGAGCCATTTTTCTGTTATTTATATCCTTAATCATTAAAGTACTTAGAGCAATTGAGCTCAGGTATCTAAGGTCAGCTGCTTAATGCGTCTTACTTTAGTTAGTAGCATAAAAATGGCATGTAGAGTCCTTAAAACAGTAGACTTATTAAGGGTCTGTAAGAAGGATGAGTCGCATTATTAAAGACATGATTTTAAAGTAGGACTTAGTCTACCCTCTTCTCACATAAAAATGCTTTAGTTTAAAGTAGTGTCAATTAAGAAAATAATACTGTTTACTTTATGTTCCTCATTATCCTTGCAAAGGTGGTCTGTAGTTTAAGCATTTGAATCAGTTCCTTCACTTCTTAAACTACCTTTTGGACCTTTTATTAAGAAGATTCAAACTTGTGTGATGGGTTCAAGCCACGGAAATAGTCTCTTTCAAAAATACAATGTAAGGCTGCATACATAAGAAATGTGGTCCAGTCCTTCCCTGGATCTCGCGCATAGCAGGAACTTAATGCATTAGGCTGCCCCGTTATTCTTCAAATTTGTTGAAGTAATATGTTGTAGCAACTGGGCTAAGTTTTTACAAGAAATGCTACAAACGGAAAAACATAGAACATACAGTTCCAAGTTGCAAAAATTCCTGGTCCCAATTGTTGTGTCTAGTAATTGTATGTATTCTAAAATGGGAAAAAGGTCAGATTTGTCCCTCTACTTTATAAAATTATTCACGTTTGTCCCTAGTTCTACTATCCGTCCAAATTTGTCCCCACCGTTAAGAGAGTAAACAAATTCGTCCCTAACCCTAACAGAATTCCAACGTGGCACTGAGTCTCTTCTCTTTGACTGCCAACTAGGCAATTTTCAACCCAAGCTAATAAGATCCGCTCCTATTATCTGATCCGACTAGCCTAAAAACAAGATTATTCTCCCCACCAATTCTTCTCTTTCTTAATTTGTTCGTCTCTGCAACAATATATTTCGCCCTTATACTGGTCCAAAAGAATCCATACAACCAGCCGTTACCTATTCAAAAAGTTTAGTGCTTTGTTTCTCCATTCTTGTCTATTCGAATAAATTGATTCTTGATCCAAAAGGGTAGGTGAATTTTGTGGGAATTTATTGTTGGATGTTATATCCTTGACTAATAGCCGGATCTTTAGGAAGAAAAAAATGGTGTGTTCATTGAAAATTGGACTTTCTATTTCTAGTTCCTGCAAGGGCTTTTTCAATAACAGAGAAAGGTTCTTTTGTTCCCTCTTCAATTAGGCCTCTAAAAATTACAGCTTTGACACCCAAAAAATTTATGGGCAAATCTTTGGATGTATTGAATCAGATTGGTTTGAGCCATTGAAATGTTAAAGCTACAAAACCCATCTCCATTAATGTATGTAAAACTTTTTTTTTCTGGAGATAAAACTTTATTTAACTTTCTCTTTTGTGTTTTTCTTAGGCCTTTTTTAATTTGGATTCTTAGTATTCTTGGGTTCAAAAACTGAATCTCTTTTTGTTATTGATTTTCGATAGAAACAAGGATTTAGGCTAGCTAGTATTTAATTACCAAAAAAAAAAGGATTTAGGCTAGTCGGATCAGATAATAGGAGCGGATCTTATTAGCTTGGGTTGAAAATTTGCCTAGCTGGCAGTCAAAGAGAAGAGACTCAGTGCCACGTTGGAATTCTGTTAGGGTTAGGGACGAATTTGTTTACTTTCTTAACAGTGGGGATAAATTTGGACGGATAGTAAAACTAGGGACAAACGTGAATAATTTTATAAAGTAGAGGGACAAATTTGACCCTTTTCCCTTCTAAAATAACTAATGAAACTTTTGGTGTTGCCCAAGATTTCCAACAACTGCCCCCATGGAGTCGAGTCGTGCCTCAGTCCCAACATGGCTGGTCATCCGAAAGAATCAGTTGAACACCATTGGCTTGGTCCATTTACCTGACCGACTACTACTAGGACCGGCTCATCAAACGACGCTTTTTAGCTTTCTTCAAGATTTAGCTTGAGCTTTTCGGCAAATTTTCACGAGTTACACACATGTTCGTCACTTTGTTCTCAACTCTTACCTCCTAGGCGTACAGTTTTATAGCGGGCATCTCCGAAAAGGGCATGAAAAAGGACACATTGAGTTTAATATCCATGTCAAATAGTCTTTTAACCAGACAAACATTTTTGCAAAGTTGCATAAACCCTTTTGTGTAGACATATCTGGTTCAATGATAAGACGAAAATTTTCTTACACTACTGTATTTCAGTCAAGAAATACGAGTGGATCTGCAAGTGGTCATTGTTTGGTACCATGTCCTTTTTCACCCTCAACTTCAGGCTGAAGTGAAAGCAATTCACCACAAATTTAGCATCTTGCCCATGACAAGGAAACACCAAGTTACTTGTATAGCTGTATGCAATAAGAAATAAAATGTCCATTGCTTTCGCTTCAGAAATACCTTTCCGGTTCCTCTGCTGAAGTCTTCACCCTACAGATTAAAACCTCATATTTTCAGAGAGATGAGTTAGATGACTAACAAATTAAGAATGTACTTCTGTTTGGGGTAACTTTTCACCTACAACTCTTATCAAGAAATTTCAGCAGCTCTTCTAAAAGCATGGTATTCTCTTTTAATCAATACTCTTCAAATACTTCCAAGAGATTCAAATTCCTTGGCTCAACCCTTAAGGATGCATTTTCCAACTGCCATTCCTTTAGTAAAAGTTCACATTCAAGTGCAGAAGAAGATGATCCGATTTGCGACTATGATAATGAAGATGAAGTACTTATTTAAAGCAGCCATGTAATTCTTCTAAGTTCAATGCTATTAACTTCTGATTTACTCATATTTTCTGAATGCTGTTTCGCGGTTTTATCAGCAGGTATTTATATCAGCAGTGATAAGTAAATACATGGAGTTGAAATGCAGAAGAAAGACAAACATCTCAACTGAAAAGTTCACCTGGGCTTTCTCTCCAACAACAGGAGATTTATTCATCTCTGCAAGACTAAGGCAAAAGGAGGACAATGAGGATCAAGAAAAGGAAGAAAGCGAAGATTTTTACTCTGTTGCTAGTCGTCTTTCTCCCTGCTCAAGTTCTACAAGTTTTGAGGCATTTGTCACAGCTAAAACAATCTTTTCTCCTTCTTCAAGCTTAGACAGGATTGACTTCCAAGATCTCTGGAGGCATTCCGTTATTCAGGACTTCTCTCACTGTGAAGGATGGCCATTTGGCCTATACCGAAAAGCCTTGTTACTTCCACCTTTGCCAAAATCACCATCTGATTCTTGGTCATGGCGCAAGAGTGCTGGAACGGTTAAGATGCATTGATTGCTGGCATTTTAAATCAGTTATCTCTAGTAGGCAAAGTAACTTTGCATTTTCTATGGAGAAAGGATGCTGATCTTAGGTTTATGCATGAATTATGTCATTTGATAATGGTACAATCTTTGCATAATTGAGAACAGCTTTTTTAATATCATTCCATCTTCTCAAACCAACACTTTTAATGTTATTTGACAACAATAACTTCTATATTCCTATTATGAATCTGCACCCTCTGAGAGCAATAAACCTGTTGGATTTTATTAACCAAGCAGATTTGACCCCAAGGAATTCCAAGAATTCTTGTTATACATTTCTTCCAATCCTCAATCTTCTTTTCTAGATTCATGGATATTGAATCAATCGAACACACTTCTAACACATGTTCTACTTTTGGAAGACGCTATGTTATATCACCAAATCTCGATTTTTCACATATAAATGTAACTAATGTATCTCCTTCCAAAGAATTCCCCATAATGGCAGGCTTAGCTGATCATATTACTATCGAGTCAACTTGAACAAGTATAACTTGACTCGGTTTGAGGGGCGGTCCATTTTTGGCTGTACATACATTTGCGCAAATAAACTGTCGAAGACTAATTATTAGAGATATCTCTTCACAATAATTGTGATGGAAAAAATACCAATTCAAATTGAATGGATCAAAAATAGTGTTACAACATGGACCGGATTAAAAAAATTATATATTCATCCATTAAATAATATTTAAATTTAATCACTTGAAAAGTCTATTTTAAATTGTCATTGCAAATGGTTAGTTATAATATCTCATTATGAGTTATTAAATGGTAAGATGAATTAGAATTATCAATTGGAAGGGATGTTCCTAAAGGGCCCAATGAATTCCTAATTGGAATTAGAGGATCTTTTTTAATTGATTCTTTAATTACACTGTGATATTTTACATCCTTGAACGGCCCCATTCGAGAAGAATTGGTTGCTGACAAAATTATCAACGACTGACATTCCATATTTCTACTTAATAGTGTATGAATAGTTCCTTGAGGTTGGTTAAGAGATTGTTGAATTTTTCCCTTGGATTAGGAATAAATGGAAGAAAAAGGGCTGATATTGGTACAATCTGATCATTATCGGAGAAAAATCCTGACCCTGACGGATCACTCATTTTCTCAATATATGAAATATGGGATTTCACTAAGTTAATTCTTAGAAAATATCAAATCAAAACATTTGTTCTTATTTCAACAAAAAAAGCACATGCTTCTTTGCAAGAAGAACTTTTTTTGTCTTGGTTCCAATTCAATACTAAATAAGTCCGAACTAATTAAATATATGTGTCAGAAATTTCTCAAATCGGTTTGCCATTTCAATAAAGGATATAATTGACTATTGGAAGTTGCACATTACCCCTTTCCTGCAATGGAAGCAGTGAAAAAAGAGTTGCTAAATTTATACCATCCGTTATTACATATATGACGACAAGTCTAACTAAAACAAAAAACTCTTTCTTGCGAGGTGTAATCCATTGGACATAGATCCAATTTTTCACCTTTTTGGATTCCCTGAAATTTCTTTTTCCTGGTGATATCAAAACGTCGTTATGTCGGGATATCTTATCCATCTTTTCAGAAAAATGGATATCTCTAGAAAAGATTTTACATTCAATTTAAATTTTTTTTCCCTCTCCACCCGGACCAACCCACCGACTCAGCCTTTTCGTTTTAAGGTGATTTGTCTATCTACCCCAATGATACTACTGTTCTGCACCATTATGGAAAAGATCCGGGCAAGATATGCACCTTTTCAGGGATGAAAAAAAAAAATCGATCTACTTTCATTTGGTATTTTGGCCTAAATTCCTTAACTCCTCGATACTCAATCAAATCATCCTTTTTTATGACTGAATGCATTTTTATAGTCTCATATCTAATAATGCCTCAACTGTTTCTTCGGTATTGAAGATCATTGAAATAAAGCAAGAATGCTATTTCGACGAAAAATACTATTTATGGGGATTTCAATCGAGATACCTGAACAAGGCATTAGTTCATTCTTGAGTTCTTGAATCGAGTGTAGTGGAATGACGAATTTCTTTTTTTGCCTTTTTGACAATAAATTAGAATTCTCGTGGAGAATAGGTGAATATATGAGATTATACGGACCTGCACACATGATTCAATTAAGGTCTGAATAATCAGGAATCCTATCTCATTATTTACTAGAAAATTCTAAACTAAATAGTTTCTGCCTCACCTGATCATTGGTTACTGAGAAGTTAGAAGTATATCTTTGCTTGCCAGAAAGAGAATGCGCATTAATTGGATCATGATCCTTGTGAATCAAAAGGTAGACTAGACTGGACCCGCACAACCCTTCTAGTAATATTCATTTAATTCGGGTACATATCACTAGTACTCCAATGCATTTCTCCGTCTGAATCAGAATAAATATGTTTTCGAGCCTTCTCTTTAAAACTCAAAGTGGATATTCCTGCACGAATCACAATAGCAATTACTTATTCTGATTCTACATATTGATTGTTTTAAACAAAAAACAAACTTTTGGGTGGAATATTCACATTGTGTAGAATACCTTCTCTTAATAGTTATATACAAGTCTATAGAACATAGAAAAGAGGGATGCCCATGACATGTACCTTTCAAATGAACCAAAATCCTCATTGAATTTTATTTTTTCGTTAGACGGGGCTTGCACATATTCTGCAGCACCCCCCGAAATACTCCTCTGATATGAAAAGTTCATAATGTTAATTGAGTACCCAATTTTCCAATCAATTGACCTGCAATAATACCTACATTTTCAAAATTTTATTGTTAATCGTCGTCCCTTTTTGTGTCTCAATTTGCTCAACAGGCATAGTTAGAATCATTATCCACACTAGTGTCAATCAAACATGTTCATAGATTCAGGTTGTTCAATTGAACACAAAAGAGATAAAAGTGAACTGGGTGCCACACAGTGCCATGTTCAATAACCAATCAAGAAAAATTAAACCAGTGGACCTGATTCACCAGTCAACAGGAATCGATTGACATAAAACCCTATCTTCTGAATACTGAATGCTCCGGAAACTATCTCCTTGAATAATAGTATCATCTGCGTATTCCTGCTATCACATCATCATAACTTACGAAAGAACAATGCAGTTTAATGGATCAAATTGATGCAGCCTGTATTATCAAAAAATTTCTTTTTCTCTTTCCAGGAAAATGTTACACAAGTAACTTAAAGACGAAACACTCCCAACTTTCAGCCATCTGTGAAGGTCTATGCTCTCTGCTCAACATAGGAACCAGCAAGTCCCGAAGTCCCAAGAACTGTAACCTGGAGTGAGAAAGCCAGAACGCATTCTGAGAAAACAAATAATGGTAAAGCTAAATTTTTCAGGAGATCTCATATCAATGTCTATTACGTTCACGCAAGAAAGTAAACAAATCACGATTTACAACCAAATAGGCTACTCCATTAGTACGATAAATTTAGCATAACAACAAAATGATATGACTTTTTCTACATAACAAAGCTACCATCTGATCCGTGTTATCAAAGACGAAAAGTGCAAATAAGATCTAAGGTCTGTTGGTGCTTTAAGCGCAAATAAAGTGTGGGCTTTAATAAAGAAAGGCGCAAATGGAGAAAAACTACAAATATGAAAGTGTAGTCCAAGACTAATATCTTTAAGCATAAATACTAAATATATAGACAAAGAGATTGAAAAAATTTACGATAAAAAGCATATCATTGTTTAGTGTTGCCTAGGAAAATCATGCCTTAGAGCCTTGATGACAAGGCTGAAGCGTCCGCTAAGTGATGTGAAGCGCTCAACATGTTTTACGCCTCGCTCTAGGGCTTAAGAGCGCTTTAAGTGCGCCTTTGATAACACTGCATTTGATTATGTTTACAAATAAGATTTTGGTCAGGGAAATGCATAAATAGTTAAAATAGTGAAATACAACACAAATTTGGCAGGGAATATTTGAAAAAAGTATGGTCAGGAAAACTAATCGAAATAAGAAATATTGCTTATGAAGAAGTCCTAACCTATTCACAGAAAAACTGAAATAAGTGGAAACCAACTAGCAGAAAATTAGAGGGTACCTTTCCCCATTGAGAATCAAGGCCACTGCATCTCATCTTCAAGTGTATCATCTTTGTTCCCAGTTCCATCTCAACTTTCTTCTTCAAGTACCCCTCCTCTGACCCAAAAGCACTCAAGTAGGTGATGTAACGTTGGTATACCGTGTGAAATGCATCAGAGAGCTCTTTTGACATAGGCTTCACATTCTGCAGCAATATAAAAAATTAAAGAGCAAGAACTTGAGAAAATGTGAATGAAGTCCCTTGCTCAGTAAACTCGTCTTACCTCACCACTTAAGCCAATTGCATCATCAAGCTCCATTTTCAGAGACGTGAGAATCCCAGTAAAGTCCTCCACTGCTTCTGCTGCACGGAAAACATTAATCAGGGCTTCTTGGCCTTCCTTGTCATCAGTATTTTTAGTCAATGCATGCTCTGCATCACCAACAACTGCATTTGGGAGCTCATCCCAGCTTGAAGCCATTAAGTCCTTAAAAGCACGTTTGACCTCTGGATCTTTTATGTCAGGCATGTGGGCTGAATCCTCACAGAAAGAACGTGTGCTTCCGATTGCTATTGTCAAAGGATGCCGCAATTCTGGGGTGTAGCAAAATCCATTATGTTTCAATTTAGTGAGCAAGATCCAGAAAATTATAAACCCTACTCACATCTGATCAGTAAGCCACTTCATGATATGTGATCCAGAAATTATAAGTTCCACTTTTGAAACCCTTGGGAAATTAAATACCTTTCTACCGATTAAATCCTAAATAGATTGTAATAACCCTCACTCTAAGTTATGTTCTCCAAAATCCAATCAAGGAGGCAGCACTGGTACATTTATTTGCACTCACATACTCCGACTAGTCACAGTGTGAGTGAGCCAAATATTTACCAAAACCATGCTCAAGCCTACCAAGACCAAATTTTTGTTGTGGGATAATATCATGCTCAGAAATTCGTTTGTCCTAGAAACTAGCAAAAACTACTGTCAAAATTATATAAGCTTAATTAGCATTCGTAGTTGGAAAAAATATGCCTGCTGCAATCAGAAATTAGAGAGCAGAAGCACAAATCTAAAAGAGAAATGAAGATCCCTAAAAGTAACCAGCGCTATTATAATTACCATTAAAGGAATGGGAACAAAGTCGCAGTCTAATAGTGACATGTCACACCTTGCACATTTAGGTGCTCCCTTTCTCTAAATTCCCCTCTCCCACTAATCACGGGCCATACTGCACCCCAAATTTTTCCTCAAAAAGGAAAATTAAATAAACTTGAGATTGAGAATTAAACATCTAAGTGAAAACAAGAGCAAAGAAATGATAGAGCATTAAAATTCCTTTTTTATATTTCCAATCAAACGTATGACTAATGCGCCTCAACTCTCATAGCAAGAGAAAGCTAATAATCAGTAAAATCAAACTTTAGATATTTTATGTTACAATCAAATCAAGAAGCAATGCACTATAATCTCGTCGGAAAATCCCTTCCAATTCAGATATCATATCGAAATATAACCACTAATTCTACATCATCAATCAACCAATTGCACAAAAATTTGATAGCATGATCTGGCACAAAAATGCGCCTTTTAAAATGGCATGCATTACGTGGAGAGCTGTCCATGACAGAATTCCCACTGATGATAGAATTAAAAATTTGGCACTAATATTGTTTCCAAGTGTTGTTGTTGTACAGGTTTAAATATGCAACCTGCAGAAGAGTCTGTTCAATATTTGTTCATCAGTGGACAATATGCGCAGCTCATATGGGACTACTATGCTGGCAAGATTGGCATTGTATACAGGGGAGTACCACTTAGAAACTTGCTTGTAAATTACTGGAATCATAATACTGCTAACTCTGTGGCTGCCTATAGTTGCAGGATACTTCCACCTATAGTAATATGGGAGTTATGGAAGTCAAGATGCAGCTCTAAATATGAAATGGAGAGGCCAGCAGTTGCAAGATCTATCTCACTGATCAACTTCAATATTATACAAATTGTCACAGCTCAATTCAGGAAATTGGATCTCAACTACACATGGGAAAACCTGTGCGAGTTTGGGAACTACCTCTAATGGAAACTAATACCTCTGTGGTGAAATGGATTAAACCACCTATCTTGTTCGTGAAACTTAACAGTGATGGTTCATGCAAAAGTGGTGAATGCGGAGGAGGAGGTGTAGTGAGGGACAATCTGGGCAAATTTATAATGACCTACTCCATTCCGCTGGGGTAAGGTACAAGCAATTGGCTGAGGCATGTACTTTCTTGTTTGGGATCAAGTGGTGTATAGAAAAAAGGTTCAACTTAATCATTGGTGAAACTGATTCAATGTTACTACAAAATTGCATCTCTGGCAACTGGACCATTCCGTGGAGAATCAAAGAAGCAGTCCAAGATATTAAGAAACTCATTAATAGACAAGGTATCTTCACTAATCACTGTTTTAGAGAGGCCAACCAAGTTGCAGATAGAATGGCCTATCTAAGCCACAGTCAGGAAAACCAGTACATATGTACAAATTTTTGCTCTTTACCTAGTCAGATTAAAGGACTTCTGAACACAGATAGATGGCAAATGCCTTCGTTTCGAGTCAAGAAGAGGAGACCAAGCATGCTCACGTTCGAGCCACCTTGAACTCACAGCTTTATTGCCACTTTATTATGGGGTCAATGAGTTTGATCATAGCTAGGGAACTATTATGTTTACATATCTTGAGTCCTGCTGGTACAGGCTCCACTTCGGCAACTTCTTTTTGCGCACAATGGCAATAAAATCGTGACTCGTTTTTGAAGTAAAAAAAAAAATCAACCAATTGCACCTCAATCCTAAACGTTACTATATGAATCACAGCTGGAGTATTTCTAAGCAGCTCTGCAACCTACCACGACCCTATTTCTATATGAGCTTGAGATGTACTCGCTGTTTTATTCTCCAATTAGTTCTTCAATTAAGAAAAGGATCAAACATTCATCTTATTACCACGGCAACAACTATCTCTCAATCTCAAACAATCGTGATCAGCTATATGAATCATCAACATCCATTTGGACAATAAATTCAACTTCTTACAATAAAAAGATTTTAAAACGTATCCTTTACCAATTTGAGCATAATATAAAATACGATCTTTAAATTGGGTATGTAGAAGAACATGGGGAATATAAGCAGATACTGAATTACATATCAAAAAAAAGAGACGAAAATGCTAGTACCACGAAAAGGCTATCATAATTCACCTTCTTACAGTTAAAAAGATCCAAAAAAAACGTAGACATTTACCAATATTTGAGCAAACAAAAATACGATCTCTTTATTGAGTATGTACAGGAAATGCAAATATAAGCAGATACTGAAGTATATAAAACGTAAGAAGTTGGAATTACTAGTACCGTGAAAAGGGCTTTTAGGAGAAGCTGGAAAATTAGGGGATGAGAAATGAAGGTGTCGATGGGAGTGGTGGTTGACGGCGGTAGTTGCGGCGGCGGAAATCGAGAAAGCTGAAGATCTACGACATATGGAACGATATAACGATTGTATCAATATCAGTTTCTGCATCTTTTTTTTCCGCTATCTTTCTTCTTTGGTTTCCTTTTGTTTTCCCTGCTTTGAGATTTTTGTAAGTGTCGCTTGATGACCAGATTGAAAATTTCCCAGTCCCAATGACCTAACTTAAACAAACGACAAAAATAGTCTCTTTTGTTTGGAAGAAGATTCAGAATGATCCCTTAACTATATTCATGAGCACTTTTGGTCCTCTATTTTAGCAAAAAGTAAACACTTTAGATCTCTGTCAAATATTTAAGACTTTTGTCAGATAATCAGGTGGCAAGAGAAACTTGTGGTGGTGACCTTTTACCCAAGTCCCTTGAGCCTTACGGAGGTGTTGGTGTCCCGCTAAGGCCTGGCTTGACGAGAAGAGTTCACGGCAATTAGAAGGCTCACGGGGCAAGAACACAGGTGGTATAGCTGCAGGAGAGTCCTTGAAAGGGAAAACATCTTCCCTGAAGGAAACATCTCTGTTAATAAGAAAGCATTGAGTATCCAAATCCAACAAAATGTAGCCCTTTTGAGTATCAGAAAAACCCATAAGGACTGTAGGTTTAGCCCTAGTAAGAAGTTTGTCTGTCTCCTGAATCTGTTTGGCATAACACAGACAGCCAAGCACTCTCAAATGATCCAGACTGGGTGCTCTGCCATACAACAACTCAAAGGGAGACAGACCATTGAGTACGGAAGATGGCATCACGTTAATAATATATGCTGCTACAAGAACACAATGACCCCAGTACTTAATAGGAATAGTGGCCTGAAACCTTAAGGCTCTAGTGACCTCTAGGATTTGTCTGTGTTTCCTCTCAGCAACTCCATTCTGCTGAGGGGTATAAACACAGGTCTTCTGATGGATAATGCCATATTTGTGAAATAAGGTGGTGCATACAAAGTTAACAAATTCAGATCCATTATCAGATCTGACTGCTTTCAAAGTTTTGTTAAACTGAGTTTGAACAAACACAATAAACTGAGCCAGTACAACACACACACATCAGATTTTAACTTCAGAAGAAACAACCAAGTCATTCTGGTAAAGTCATCAACAACAGGCAAGAAGTACTTATTTCCATCAAAAGTTGCATACTTGTAAGGACCCCAAACATCCACATGAATTAGATCAACTGCATCAGTGCTCTTAATACAGCTAGTAGGAAATGGCAGCCTAGTTTGTTTAGCACATGGACATACAGAGCATTTATTGATAGTATCAGTAATACTAGCTAGTTTAGCAGGAAACAGTCTTTTGAGTACCATACTAGAGATATGACCTAGCCTTTTATGCCACAAAGTAATATCAGTAGTTCTTGACTTTATTCCAGCTGCAACTAGAGCAACTGCAGTGAGCTTCTTGGCCCCATATTTCTACAGAAAGTATAGGCCATCTCTCCGTACCAATCTCCCTCACCTTGCCACTGAAGAGATCCTGCAATGTACATAAATCAGGATAAAAAGAAGAAAAGCATCTTAGATCTCTTGTCACCTTGGAGACTGACAATAAGTTGAATTTGAATTGAGGGACATAAAGCACTTCTTTAATAGTGCTTCTATCTGAAATATGACTATCTCCAATTTGAGTAACTTGAGTAACATCTCCATTAGGTAGTTGAACTCTTCTAGACTTAGAAGGTGTGATTAGGGAGGTTTTGGTCACTAAGTTTACATCTGACACCATATGATTTGTTGCACCTGTATCAATGATCCATTCTTGTTCTTGTATCAATACCTGCTTCATTTGCTTGAGTAGGAGGAGTTGGGCTACTGTTCAGAATCTGCATATCTGATCATATTGTTCCTTGGTAAAGGGAAAACCACCACCTTGTGGAGCAGTATTTGCTGATCCCTGAGATTGTGAAGAGGAAGTACCTTCCTGATTCTGAGTGCCTGGAATCCCTTGACTCTGTAATCCTTCAGGAACTTGGCTCCCATACTGATGGCCTTGATACATAGGCATAGGTTGCATTGGCATAGATGTCATTGCCCTGTTTTGAGAGACATGATTTGTGTGCAAAGGCACAACATGACTAGGTTCTATCATAGCATTGTATGCTCCAGCTCCCCCTTTCTTTTTAGTCTTATTGTCTTGTGGATAACCTATGATTTTTGTAGCAGTTTTCTTTACTGTGGCCTTTCATTTTACAGAAGTCACATTGGACATTATAATTTTTTCTAAACTTTGGATTGTAATTAAGCTTAGCATTGTACAAAGCAGTAGAGTCATAGGCATTTGTGTTTACATTAGGAGCAGATCCTAATACTCCAGTAGTGGTTGCAATAGATCTCTGACTTTCATCACTCATGAGCATAGCATAAGCTTGATTTACTGTTGGTAATGGATTCATCATAAGAATTTGACTACGAGCTTGAGAATAAGAGTCATTTAGGCCCATTAAAAATTGATACACCTTCTGCTTTTGTAAATGCACAATAAATTCTTTTGTCTTAACACAGTCACAGCCAGGAGTAGGTAGTACAGACTCAGTCTCATCCCAAATATCTTTGAGTTTTGAGTAGTAAACAGAAATAGATGCAGTACCTTGATTTAGAGTAGCAATTTTCTTGTGCAAATTACAGCAACGTGTATCATTCACCTTGTCAATACGTTCCTGCAGATCCATCCACACTACATGTGCACTAGTAGCGTATGCAATGCCACTGATTAATGTCGGAGCCACTGAATTCATCAACCATGACAGCACAATTGCATTGCACCTCTCCCATTGATACCAGTACTTCTCACGAAACTGCTCCTTAGGCCACCTGCCATCAACAATCCCAAGTTTGTTTTGACCAAGTAATGCAATTCGCATAGATCTATGCCATAGAGAGTAATTGTCAGTGCCGGTTAGCTGAAATGAGATCAAAGAGATTCCACTTGTGTCGGCGGGAGCTAAGTACATAGGATGAGTGACTGCTACGGTCACTCCTTCCTCAAATTCATCCTCTGATGATGCATGTGAAGTATTTTCAACAATAGTATTTTGACTTTCATTCAACAAGTCATCAACCGCCATTGTTGATCAATTTCGAGTTGAAAAAACAGAAAATTGAGGTATTAGATCTGAACCAGAAATTTGATTTAGAAGGAACTGGAGATGAGAAGAGATTGAGGATCGATATCTGAGCTTCAATTCTGAGCTCGGAGCTCTGATACCATGCTGAAGTTTGGTGATTGATCACCTGCAGAAACCCTAGCTAAAGGAAGAAGAAGAAATATGTGAGAGAGAAATGAATGAAACAGTGGGAAAAATTCTATTCCACTCACTCTGTATCTTTTACATTTACACATATATATATACACTTGTAACTAACAACTACTATAACAAACTAACTAACTATCTCATTAACTCCCTAATTGACTTATCATATATAAATAACCTACACCACTTCTCATAATCAGGTTACTCCTTTCTCCTCAATATATTTTAGCAAAAAGTAAACACTTTAGATCTCCGTCAAATATTTAAGACTTTTGTTTAAGCACTAATGTACTAGTAATACACTAATACTTTACTGCTGAAGATTTTTGTTTAAGCACTAGCATTAATACATTAGCCTAGCATCGAAGTGCAAGTCTAATACTCTACTGTTTTAAACATGTCAATCACAGTATGTTTTTAGGTTTGAATTGGCTATAATATTTGATATAGTAAATAAAATATAGAATGCAATTAATAAGAAGAAAGACTGTTGATATAATACAAAAATTAATTTGAAATTGTTCTAGTAAGCTAGAGAATATTACATGAATGACTAAAAGCATTATACATCATAAATCCATAACAAGAAAAAGCCTAATGCTTAATCAAAAAATGAGGCATTTCCCTGTTGAAGAAATGAGCCAAATTCTTGATCAAATCTTTGGACTTTTGACATTGCAAATTATTCAAATGAAATACATGATCCTCTCCTTCTGTTTCTTGGATCTCAACCACACCCATCCATCCGCTCCGACCCAATGCTTGAAAGTAAGCCCAACCTCTATCCTTCAAAATATCCTTCTCCGCCACACTAATCAAGACTCTACGACAACCCAGACTCGTTAAGCTTGGTGCACCTTCTGACATCGGGTTAATTCTCGGGTCATTATTATCCGGATTCGAAGGACACACAAACGACCACAACCGGTCCACATGTGCCTTCTTATCCGGGTACAAGGCCTCCGACCCGATTGGACCCGACCCCCAAAAATATGGGTGAACTAAAGCAACACCAAGAATATCAACCATAAGCTCTGGCTCAACACTTCCGGCAGCCATTGCTAAATTATGAGCAATGTTAGCACCCGCACTGTCACCAGAGAGGAAAACACGCCCGAAATTCGCGTGTTCATTCAACCACGGCTCTTGACCATCGCCATTACAATGAGAAAAAACCCATTGAAGTGCTTGCCATGAATCTTCATATGCAATAGGAAGAGGGTGTTCAGGTGGTCTTCTGTAATGAACAGAAACAGCGATGATTCGAGCTTCGGACACGAGTGTGTTGAGGTAGTTATGATAGTTGGATGAAGATGGAGTGAACATACAAAAACCTCCACCATGGAAGTAAATAACAAGAGGTAGTTTTTGGTTGCCAAGAATGGAAATATTTGGGACATAAATACGAATATAGACTTCAGAATCAGGAATAATGTTTGATATATCTTTGGATGAAACTCCAGTTTGAGAATCAGTACCTGCTGGAAGTGAATCAGTGCCTAAAAGTCTCTCAACATGGCCATTTTTGTAGACTCGAAGATATGGTAGGAACTCGTAATCCAGCTCTGCATTGCTTGCAGCCATTGCCTTCGCTTCGAACTATGTAACTGGATTTAATTTTTTTTTTCAAAATTATATTTATAGTGTCTAAATCAATTTATTACTATAGAGGAGTCTAGTGAGTGCAGTTGGTACGCTGCAATCCTATTTAGAAGTAGCGATAGCTGTGTTTTTTCTTTTATTTTATGTCCACTTAAGCTAATATTGCCTAGGCCTAAATGTTTTATCTCCACAAGTTTTGATGAATTCTATTGTATTTAGATAAGGTATGATTTGGTTTATTGTCTGCTTTTGTTCGTTGAAAATGACTTCCAGTTTTGAAAAAAGAAAAGAAATATAGTGGGCGTC